GGGGGGCCACGGGGCCCCCGGCGGTCCGGGGGCCACTGGTCGTCCTGCTCACCCCGGTGGCCCCGGTGAGGCTGATGGTCTTGGTGGTGTAGAAGGAGCATTGTTATAAGTGGGGTGTGGGGGGGGGGGGGGGGGTGGGGGGCAGGTTGTTGTCTGGGTTTTTTTTGTTTGGTTGGTTTGGTTTTTGGTTTTTCAACAGCAGATCTATGCTATTTGGATTGCTCTAAAATCTTATCATTAAAAATCACCATGTGAGGAAGGTTACAAATAGTTTTCTAGGAAATTTGTGTTAAATAACCCAAAGATGGGTGGATATAGGAATGCGTATGTATATGTACCTGAATATTGGTAGGATGCTTACATGATACAGGTGTAAAATAAAACCAGTTCTCCATTTTCACCTTAAAAATGCAGCTAGTATGTATTTTACTGTACATAAATGTAATTATAGTTAGACGGAACCAGCTGCTAGCTGCATGTAATCATTTCTCTACTAGTCTCTTGAAAACATATAAGGATCTTCAAAAGCAAAAAAATCTGAAAAGCTGATATACCCCTTTCAAACTCAATTTGAATTGAGGATGGTAATTCTGGATTAAAACCGCATGTGTTCATTAATATGAGAACACCATTGGTTTAGGATTGAGTAGCCCCACTCAGAAGTCTGGGCATTGGTGGAGGTCTTTCCTTGTCACAGAGGGCTATAAATTGGATCCAGTGTTTGAACAATCATTCTTTTACATCAGGTAACATTATTCATTGTTAATTAAAATGTGTAAGAATTTTGTTTAGTGTTAATATAATACATTTTTGTATAAAGAGCATTCAATTCTTCTAGAAACTTTAAAACATATGAAATACAAAAAGAAAGAATGATTTATGGATTTTAGGGGCATGATGCGGTTGGAAGCTAGAGGAATCCAATAAGATTTTAGGAAAAAAGCACAGAGGAAATTTCTTCTATCATATTCCATATACTTTCTAAATTGCAAGTTTTACCCTGTCATATATCCTGTTTTAATACTGGCTCGTTATAAAATTATAAGCTACAATAGGAAAATGCCAGGGCAACTATAGCTACAAAATGACATAATTTGTTATTATTGTGACAAGCATGAGAAAATGCTTTGATTTATCAATTTTAGAGGTAAGATTTTTGTAATACTGTTTACATATTTTACATGAAAAATGTCATGAGGGAAAGTCTTATGGCAGCGGATTTATCAAAACAGCTTTGAAAGGTTTCCATTGCACTAAACACATCTCCATGACAGAGTTTT